CAATCATGATGACCTGTTGCTGCTGAAGCAAGCAGTTGTGTCCCTTTATATGTATATATTGTACTTAAACTCATAAGGGCTTTCTCATAGGATCTCAAAGCACTTTACATACAGAGAAGCCTCAAAACACTTCCAATAGTAGGCATTAGAATGCCTATTTCTACATGTCGGAACTAAGACCTAGATTAGTTAAGGCTTTAGCTAGAGCTACACAGTGAGTCAGTCCAAACCAGAAGTGAGACTAGAACCCAGAAATCATGGTAGCTCCTTGCCGAACCCCTATTAATTATCGCCACGTGAATTACCTAAAGCACAAATAGATGTAATACTTTCACTTACCATAAAAAGTGTGTATCAAATGCTTTTATGTTTAAATTTGAGATATCTGAAAACTATTTTCTATAGGGTTGGTATGACCATCTCAGCCTTCTGTACCCACAGGAATGCAAAGTTGGAAGTCTGTGATTGAGTAGGGGAGCGTGAAAAATAAGAAACCTTATGTACAGAAATCTCTCTTATGGTGGAAGACTGGCTTTCCTGTACAGTCTTCAATTTAGGATGTCTGTGGCTTGAGTCTCTTCCACTATAATTAAAGGTATGATTTCCAGCTAACTTAAGTATTCTTTTGGAAGAGTATAAACACACCTTATGGTCAAACGCGTTTGTAACTACTGGCCTTTCTGATGAACAATCCAAATGTTTGGAAGTTTTGTAGCTCTTGATCAAATGCCATGGGCAGTCAGTGAAGGTAGGGCTGGAGAAGGCAAGCTCCCAGCCTCATCCCTTTGGCTGAGGCCCCACCCCATGGGAGTCAAGCCCCTTCCCTAACCCCCACCACAGGGAGGTGGGCCAGTGCACCCCCTACCCCCATGAGGAGGGGAGTGCAGGTGGGTGCATGTCCCCAGTTCCCAAGCATGAGGAGGGAGGGTGGCGCATGTCCCCAGCTTTCCTGGCCCCAGAACATGGGGAGGGTGGGTGCTGGGGGCAGCAATTTTCTACCCCCAGAATGCCTATAGTTGGAGTTCTGGGGTGGAGTGTACATGGGGCCAGGCTGGCAATTTGGGAAGGCTGTACCTTCCCCCGCCTATTATACCAGTCGCCCATGGGCTAACCCAGTGTTTCTCAACCAATGGTACGAGTCCTCGTAGCCAGTCAGTAACAGTGCTTGGGATTCTTCTTCCTTGTTGAACCTCATCACATTTCTTTTGGCCCAAACCTCCAATTTGTCTAGGTCACTCTGGATCCAGTCCCTACTCGAGAGAAGTCTGGGGGGTACGTCAACACAACTGAAATTTGGAGGGAACTGAATTTTTAAGTTTTACAGCACTTTATTATTTTTGTACTTTTTACACCCAAAAGTTTCGTTACCTGCCCAGCTACAATTAAGTTGTTTAAACAAATGTGGTGCAATGGTAGAAAAAAAAGTGTGTGTGTGTGTGTGTGTGTGTGTCTGAAAACTGTAGGTAGTGGGGTTATTTATAATTTTATTTTTTTTTAAAAGGGTACTTTATTAAAAAAAAAGTTGAGAAACACTGGGCTAGCCTATTCAGATGCAACGAGGTTTGGGTGCCTAACTTGAGGGAGGGTCAAGGGCTTAGTTTTGGACTCTTCAGTGCTTTCTGAAAATTAGACCCCTTAAAGATCTTAGGTTGAGCACCCACAGACTGGGGCCCTACAAAAAAATCACTTGCCACTTTTGAAAATCTCCCCTGCTAACAGTATTTAAGTGTGTGCTAAGCCCTGAAAAAGGACTATGGGTCAGATTCTAGGCTGGAATAAAATTGGAATAGCTCCAATGAGAAGCTAAAGGTCAGCCCCATATGTCACTTCAGTATAGAAAGCAGGCCTAGTCTTTGTTCAGAAAGGCTCTTCACAGCATAATTTCAGGAGAGGATGCATGTGCTAGAGCAGAAGCCACTGACCTGCAGAAAAAAAAAAAATCAGTCGGGGGCAGCACACAAGTGAGATGCCAAAAATAAATAAAAGTCCTTGCTGACTTGGCTGCTGACTGAGAAGGAGAAAGGCACTCCTCACATTCCCCTTGCACACCAGAGCCTTGGGTGGCCCCAGCTTGTAGATTTGCTGTGCTCCAGACCCACAGTAGGTGCAGGCCCCCCAGTGCTGTGGGGGAGCCTTGAGGGCCAGATGTGGGCCCCTGGGCCTGAGGTTCCCCACCTCTGAGCTAGAGGTTAGGACATTCACATCGTGTTCAAGGGACCCAGTTCCATTTCCTGCCCCTGCCATAGACTTCCTGTGTGACTCTGAGCAAGTTGCTTAGGGTGTGTCTCCAGTCTCTGCAGCTGTGAGTGTCTGAGCCCAGGATGACAGACTTGGTTTTGTGGGGCTTGCACTATGACACTTAAAATAGTTTATGGGAAGGGAGGACTTCAGAACCTGAGGTGTAGCCTAAATTGCAAGTTAAAACCATCTACACAGTTATCACTAGAGGCTCCCCAAATCTAGGTCTTCCAGTGCAGGCCTTCAGACTTGTTCCCACTTGGCCATGTAGATAATAGAATGATAAGGTCTCTTCCAACCCTAGGAGACCATTGAGTTCAACCCCCTGCCCAAAGTAGGACCAACCCCAACCAAATCATCCCAGCCAGGGCTTTGTCAAGCTGGGACTAAAAACCTCAAAGGATGGAGAGTCCACCACCTCGCTAGGAAACCCATCCCAGTGTTTCATCACCCTCTGAGTAAAATAGTTTTTCCTAATAGCCAACCTAGACCTCCCCCACTGCAAATTGAGACCATTACTCCTCATTCTGCCATCTGTCACTACTGAGAACAGCCTCTCTCCTTCCTCTTTGGAAGTCCCCCTTTAGGTAGTAGAAGGCTTCTATCAGATTTCCCCTTATTCTTTTCTTCTGTAGACTAAACAAGCCCAAATACTTCAGCCTCTCCTCATAAGTCATGTGCTCCAGCCCACTAATCATTTTGGTTGCCCTCTGCTGGATGTTTTCCAATGTATCCACATCCTTTCTGTAATGGGAGCCCCAGAATTGGACACAATACTATAGATGTGGCCTCACCAGTGCCAAATAAAGGGGAATAATTGCTTATTTAGATTTGCTGGCAATACTCCTCCTAATAATGCAAATTAACGTGCCATAAGCCTCTTGGCTACAAGGGCACACTGATTCATATCCAGCTTCTTATCCACTGTAATCCCCAAGTCTTTTCCTGCCAAACTGTTGCTTAGCCAGTCAGTCCCCAGTCTGTAACAGTGCTTGGGATTCTTCTTCCTTGTTGAATCTCATCACATTTCTTTTGGCCCAAACCTCCAATTTGTCTAGGTCACTCTGGACCCAGTCCCTACCCTCCAACGTATCTACCTCTCCTGCTAGCTTAATGTCATCTGCAGACTTGCTGAAGGTGCAATCCATCCCCCTCATCCAGGTCATTAATAAAGATATTGAACAAAACCGGCCCCGGTACTGGCCCTTGGGATACTCCGCTTGATACCAACCACCAGCCAGACATCGAGCCGTTGATCACTACCTGTTGAGCCTGGCAATCTAGCCAGCTTTTTGTCCACCTTACAGTCCATTTATCCATCCATACTTCCTTAACTTGCTGAGAAGAATACTGTGAGAGACTATATCAAAAGCCTTGCTAAAATAAAGGTATATCACATCAACTGACTTCCCCATGTCCACAGAGCCAGTTACCTCATCATAGAAAGCAATCAGGTTGGTCTGGCATGACTTGCCCTTGGTGAATCCATGTTGACTATTCCTGATCACTTTCTTCTCTCTTCCAAGTGCTTCAAAATGGATTCCTTGCGGATCCCTTCCATGATTTTTTCTGGGGACTGAAATAAGGCTGACTGATCTGTAGTTCCTTGGATTGTCTTTATTTTTTTTAAAAGATGAGCACTACAATTGCCTTTTTCCAATTGTCTAGGACCGCCCCCAATCGCCATGAGTTTTCAAAGATAATGGCCAATGTCTCTGCAGTCACATCAGCCAACTTTTCTAAATAGTTCTTAACCTGTTCTTCCTCCACCGAGGGTTGCCCACCTCTTTTTACTGTGCTGCCTAGTGCAGTAGTCTAGGAGCTGACCTTGTCTGTGAAGACAGAGGCAAAAAAAGCATTGAGTACTTCAGCTTTTCCCATAATATCTATCACTAGGTTACCTCCCTCATCCAGTAAGGGTCCCACACCTTCTCTGACCACCCTCTTCTTGCTAATATGGCTGTTGAAACCTCTCATTTCCCTTAGGCCATGGATGGGCAAACTTTTTGGCCTAAGGGGAACATTTGTGTTCAGAATTTATTTGGAAGTCCAGGTAGAGAAGACTGGAGAGGAGGGCTGTGTTTCCCCAAACAGCCAGGCGTGGCCTGACCCCTGCATCCTGACCACCCCCAGGGACTCCTGCCCCTATCCACCTCCTCCCTCACACGACTTCCCATCTGCTATCCAACCGCCTATGTTCTGCACTTCTCAACACCCTCCCCCCCCCGTTCCCCTTCCTCTTAATGCCCCTCATACCACTTGTCCTCAATCCACCCCCATAGTGGATACTAGGCCCCTGCCTACTCCTCAGAACCTCCTGCCCACCCAACTCCCCTCCCTTGACCCCCCCCTCCCAACTCCCTGCTTTCTTATTCAATCCCCTCTGCTCCTCGTCCCAATTGCACCTTCTGCAATACCAAAGCTGGACGAAAGGATCTCTAGTGGGCAGGATCTGTCCTGCGAGCTGTAGTTTGCCCACCTCTGCATCTCAGTTCTCCATATATGAATGGGAAGTTAACTCATGGCAGGAGATACGGGGGAGGGAGAGTTGCTTAGATACTATGGTGGTCATGGCCACAAAAGTACCTAAGATTCAATGAATAAATTAAGATGTCAAACAATGTAACAATCCATTTTCCGTCTAATCTTTTCTAGCTCATATTCTGGTAAGGGGATAGCAGAGCTGAATCAGCCACTGTCTGAAATGCCTCCTTTACTATGGAGAGACGCTGACTCAGAACCAGCTGTCTTTTATGCTCCTCCCCCCCCCCCCCCCCCCACACT